CATTTCCTTAATCTCTTCAATCATTTACTTTTTTTAATATTTTCAACCACTATAACAAACAAAATAATTTTTTTTCTTCTTTGTCTTTTTCTAAATATTTTACATAAATCTTAATAGTAACTAATATTTTTTATTTATAATTTATCTTTATTAAGTTTATATATTAAATTTTATCTTAATAAAATAATTGTATTTTAAAAGATTAAAAAGAATTAATAATTTCAACTTTTTTTACTTTGAACTAATAAAATAAAAATTAATTTATTAAATATTTTCTTATAAATTATATATTTCATATTTTTAAATGATAAACTTAAAATATAATTAATATATATATAATCAAATGTTTGAAATTATTATTATTATTATTATTATTATTATGTCATAAGTATTTTTTATTTGTATAAAAAATGATTAAATATTTTTTACATATTATTTTAATATAAATTTAATAAATTAAAAAATATATTTAATTAATAATAATTATAAATTATAAAATTATAAATATTTATTTATGTATTAAAAATATATAAAAATATTAAAATTAATTTGTTATAAGTATAATTATTTTTTTAGAAATAATGTAAATCGAGGATGGGTGGGGGCAAGTCCGAAATTCAATGGGAACGTGAATGAAAACTTAATTTCTAAACCTGACGAAATTGACAATGAGAACTTAATTTCTAACCTCGGCAAAATCGAGGGTAGAGACGATTAGAAAAATCAGGATGGGGTCCGGGAGGCAAAACTTGGCCCCGCCCGCCCTCGTGCCATACCTATACATAGGTATAGCCTCCGAGCCTAATGTTGAGTCTTTTACTAGCTACCTTGGTGTATTAGCTCGTGAAAATATTTCTATTTTAGTCTCATCTTAAGATCATGTTAGTGAGGTTGAGAGAAACATTATTTAACAAGATATATTAATAAAAAAATTTAATATATATTAATTGTTTCTTTTATAATTTGTCTAATTATATAGTCTGGACCACCTTTATTTTTGTTTCATAGGCACATTATGATATCTCTAATGTTGAAACATTGAGATCAACAGTTCTTTCTTCGGTTGCAACAAAATAACATCAATTTAAGTCTAAATTGATGATAAACTATGTATTTGGTGAAGGAGTAATGAAAATCCTTGTACCTATGGACACAGTTGATGATAAACTATACACGACAATTGATGAAGAAACTTGGACACAGTTTGTTCAGATGAGGTAGGAGAGAAAAGACAGGTAATCATATCACTATAAAAAAAGAGGTATTATCTACAAAATATTACCTATGGATAAAAATTCGTAGGTAAAATGTACATTACATACAGATATTATCTACAGAATTCTATCCATTTGTAAATTATCCATTACCTACGAAATTATTATCCGATGTGATGTTATCTGTGGGTAATTATTTATTACCTATAGAATTAGTATTGTTCATATGTAATGTCATTCATGAATATTATTCATTACCTACAGAATTATTATCCGTAAGTAATGTCGTCCTCCATTACCTACGAAATTACTATCCATAGGTAATATCATTCGTGGGTAATTATCCATTATCTACAGAATTACTGTCCGTAGATAAATTACATACGAATTACAATCCGTAGGTAAATTATATCAAATTAAAAGAATTATATCAAATAGATAAATATATAAATATGCAAATAGATAAATATATAAATATGAAAATATATAAATATATAACTATATAATTATATAAATATATAAATATATAAATATATAAATATATAAATATATAAATATATAAATATATAAATATATAAATATATAAATATATAAATATATAAATATATAAATATATAAATATATAAATATATAAATATATCAATATATAAATATATAAATATATCAAAATATAAATATATTTGTATTTATATATTTACACGGATAAATATAAATATAATTTATTTGTAAGTTATTATCGGAATATCCTAATAGCTTAGTGGTTGGAGTATCGACCTCCAACTTTATGGTATTGGGTTTAATTTCTCGCAGTGATAATTCGATAATTCTCTTAATCGATAATAATACAAACTTCTAAAATTATAATAAATAATAAAAATATATTAAATTTCAAAGGCTCTAGGTAATAATAAAAAGTAAATAGGGATTTTGTAGTAAATAAAAATATTTTGTTTAAGCGAATATATTATTACCTACGGATAATTACCCACGGATGGTATTATCTACAGGAAAAAATTCGTAGGTAAAATGACATTACCTACGAATTTTTGTCGTAGATAATAGGTTTTTTTGTAATGTTTATTTTTTTTTAACATTATTTTTACAATTATAATTAATTAATTGATAACATTATCTATACTTGGTGGTAAGGTGTTAAGAAAAAAACATAAGTTATTTAGGCACATAATGTAACTCTTCGCTTATTGTCACATGTGGATTATTGGAAGCTTGATCAAGTCATGATGATGGAGAAAGAGAAAGCACGATCTGCATCTTCATTAGATGTTTATAGTCTTTACCCACCATATCTACTTTCACGTCATGAGAAGTGGAAGTAGGCTCTACTTAAAAATTCGGGCATATATATTAGGAGTCACATCTTATGACTGAATGGATTATAAGTACTTTTTCTCTAATAATATTTATTATGTCAAAATTATAGTATATCTTACAATTTGATTGTGTTGTGGGATTCTTTTGAGTGAGGAATGTACCAAAGGTACTTTTATTCCTCAAAGTCGGCAAAATATCCTAACAACGATCCTTGGTCGACCAGAGCACCCGATTGTGTTCGAGCTATTAGATAGGTGTGAGGATTAAATCTTTCTTTAGAGCAACATCACATAAGTCATATTCCTTATCTAGTGTCCTCACTTAGGAGTGTATACATAATCTCAGAACACAATTAAGGGAGGAGATTATGGATGAGCTAAGGGAGGAGCTTAGACAAAAGATCATAAAGACTGTGACGTAAAACTTGTGGTGGCAGTTTGACCAGCGATTGATGAGTCTAGGGCTCTCCCTACAGGCAACTGCTACAGAAGTAGATGTACCATCAGGGGAGGATACAAACCATCTTATTAGGTGTAAACATTATGTTAAAGATACTGATTCCCCATGATTGGTGACGTTTGGGAAAATATTTGAAGGGGCTACTCTGTTACATAGTGTACCTCTTCCTATTCATTTGGTTGATATCATGGTTGAGAAAGTTAATGATGGTAATATTATTGTACCTGTGCTAACAAATGAGGTTGTTATTGTGGCACAAACACTTCAAACATTTACTGTTTGGTCTAGACATCTAGTTAGACCCATATCAGAGACCACAGTAATGACAATATAAATCCTACGTTTGATTCTTTCTTATTATATTGTTTTTAATATCAATTTTATTTGTGTAATCACAACGCCGAAAAGATAGGAAAAAGAAGAAACAATATAATATTAGTGACCATTTGTCTTCATTGTTAGATGTTGTCAAAGTTATTATTACCAATTCACATTTGAGGTGCCATGGGATTCTACCCTTTTTGGAAAGGAGAGTGATATCTCATTATATTTACACATGTATGATGTGTTAGAGATTGTAATGTACAATCTAGAACTCAACATATTCATTATGTAGTTGTGAATAATGTAAATTATTTAAATTAAAATTTTTACTATTTTAATTATTTGAAATAATTCATTAATCATTATGTCATTCATTATAAGTATCTATCTCAATTATATGTGAATGAAGGCAAATATGAAGTGTATAAATTTTTAGATTCTCAAGTCATTTAACCATTGGGTAATAAAAAATCAAAGACACAAATATACATCATAAATAGTCTTTTATCGGAAAAAAAAATTGCACCATATGTTTACGAGTAAATAAATTTTGTTTATAATTTATCATTACTCAATTCTAATTTTAACTAACTTCAACCTTTCAATATATAGTTATCGTTGACAATTGTTTGTCATATCTATCATTAATAACATGATTGTATGGTTTTGTTCGTTGCACAAAACGTCATCTATATACCTTAAATAAATAGTCTATTGGTAACAAAATTTGGTTGTTTTTATAGAAATTATATTACAATTATGTTTTAACTAAGTTTATATGTTACTAGTGCTTATGGTAGATATAAGATTTTGTTAAAATAAATTATATATATATATATATATATATATATATATATATATTTATGATTCCTTATGTTTAAAATAAAATCTATATTATATTGTACTGAGTTATTTTGAATATATAAATAATGGGATAGAACCTAAAATAGTTTGTTTTTTGAAAAAAATAAAAAATAAAAAAATATATATATATATATATATATATATATATATATATATATATATATATATATATATATATATATATATATAACGATGATTAATATTATATCCGTATACATGTTTCACGTAAGGATTCAAGTACAAATATAGTCATATCCGTCCTACGATTATTTATAAATAATGATTGTTTTTTGTAATATACAAATATTAAAAAATAATCAATATATCTTGATATAACACAATGAGTAAAGAGTAGTGATATTTTGACAATCAGAAATCATACAACTCTTCAAACAACTCATTTTTATTAATATAATAATCTATAGACTGATTTAATAAAAATAAAAATAAAATAAAATTATTATTATAATATTAAAACAAAGTTGTTTACATGAGTAGTATGGATTTGGGTTGTCAAAATATCATTTTCCTTAAAGATAATTGTAATGATAAATGAATCATCTAAAATCATATATATAACTAAAATAAAATTTTCACATGTGAGGATCAACAAAATATTCTATGTAAGAATAATACTACAACAACAAAAATCTTCACGTTTAAAAAAAAAAACTCAAAACAATAGATGATACTGAAAGAATTTGAAAAACTAAAATCCAAATTGATATAATCTAAAGAAACCCTAATAGTCAGAAAACTGAGGCCCAGTAGTTGAACTGAAGACGAAGTTGAATGAGGATGGCTGGATCAAGAATCAAACCACTCGGGTTGGAGCTGTTTGGCGAGGGTCATATAAGTAAGATATAGAAGACGATCTTTGGCACCAGTTCGATGCCTGTTGTTGTGCTTGCAAAAATGTTTGAGATCATCAAGAGTGCAGCAACCCAGCATTTGGCCCAGCAATAAGAACAACCAATTAATCTCCTTTTTGTCTTTCGCAAGGACAGGTCTGGTGCTGTTTTCTCGTCCGCAAATAAGGCATTTTGGGAACACTGGTTTCATCCATGCCGATGGCGCTCTATCATGCATTCCACCTTTTCTTCTGTGAATGAACTCGCGTAAGTCAGCCGCTTTCTCTTCCAAATCCAGACTCAACTGGAACTCCTGCTCGCATTTCTTGCAGTGAACCTTCCCTGTGATGGTGCAAATATTGTTCTCCAAGAGATATTGCTCGCTGTGGATGGTGGCTTGTTCATTTGTGGCCCAAGGGAACGGCGGAGGGATAGTTTTTTCCTCTCCTCTCCGCCGATTAGATGACGCACGACGAGAGGGACGTCTAGAGGGTGCACCGGGGGAAACATATTCCTCGATTTTAATAGCCGCATTTGGAGGGTTGCTATTATCGTTGGAAGATGAAACCAACGAAGGGTTATTATTGTTGATTGAGGATGATGCGATGTCAGGGTTAAGATTAGAGTTAGTTTGAGAAGGGTCAATTGCGAGAGGGATGGAAGTTCTCCTTCCACTACCATAACCTATTGAGAGAGTAAGATCAATCTCTTCTTCCCATAGGGTTGAGTTCTTCATTGTCCACTCTGAACCATAACCTAGTGAGAGAGTAAGATCAATCTCTTCTTCAGATACTGATGAGTTCTTCATTATCCACTCTAAAGAAATTGTCTTTCCAAGTACTATCAAGATAAGATGTACAACCTTAAAAATAAAAAACATCAGAGTGAGTGGAAAAGAAAATTTTATATATATATATATATATATATATATTATGATAAGATATAAAATAAAAGATAAATAACAAATAATAATTTGATTTTCGCTTTTAAACATGATAAAAAAATTAAGAAAATATAAATTAATAATTAAATTATAATATCTAAAAACTTAAATTTATAACTTTATTTATTTTTAATGAGAGGTAAGAATCTATTAAGATATTGATTAATTAATTTATATAAATAACACTCTACTGAACTTATATAAATCAATAATTTTTATAAAATTCATATATCACAGGTAAATAAACAATAAATATGTAAAATTTATCCTGTATACATTGGAATTTTTTACTAAATGGGGTAATTTTTTTTTAATTTACTAACATGATAAATTTTAGAAAAATTAGAGATTTGAGTAAGTTGTGTTATAAGTATAATTATATATGAATAAGTTACTTTATAATACGAATTTTTTTAACGAAAAAGTCATACTAGCACAATTTCTATATAAATTTATATACAAGTCATATCGGTATGAATTTTAATTTTATATTATAATAATTATTATAATCAATAATAATATATTTTATACTAGTAATAATAAATTAAATAATGATAATAATTTAAATTATATTATTACTAAAATTATTATTTTTATTATTTAAATTAATATTATATTATTATTATTATTAAAATAAAATAATATTATTAAAAGTAATATAATTATAATAACTAATATTATTTGAATTTTATTACTAATAATAAAATAAATTAATAATTATAATTATATAAAATAAAAATAATATTAAAAATAATATTAAAAATAAAATAATTATTTTAATAATTATAATTCTATTACTTATTTATTTATTATTATTATTTAATAAAAATATTATTTTATTATTATTAAAATAATATTAATAATAATAATAATTAATATAATTATCTTATTATTATTATTTTTATTAATAATAATATAATTATTATTAATATTATTAATTTAATAATAATCATTCATTTTTATATTATTTTATTTTAATAATATTAATATAATAATAATAATTACGTGAATTATAATTATTAATATTCTTTTTTAACCATAATTTTCTTTTATTTTCTTCAAGATAATTAATAAATTAATTAATAAAAAAATCATTTATTTTTTCTCTTCAACATTCATACATTTCTCTCTCCTTAAATTATCTTTAGTTATATTCTTATCTATTTTTCGTTTTCATCTTAAATATATTATCTTACATTATAAATAAAACACTATTTTATAAAAATAGTAATACGAGCGTCATAATGTCCACTAATATACATAATGGTAGTATATATAGCAGAGATTCCCTTTAGAAAAAAAAATTAAGAGAAAAATTTTGAATATTCACTTCTTCTAATCATACATTTTCTTAATTTTTTCTCAAATATAAAATAATAATTGAAAATAATAAAAAAATGTCATTTTCTTCTGTATTCTCTTAATTACACGTTTTGTTCAGTTTCACTTTTCTTAAAACTGGGTCTCACTTTTATTTGTCTTCAATAATTTATAATTTCAGAAATAAATATTTATATTTTAAAGTCAATATATACATCAAATTTTAGTAAATTAAAAAAAAAACATAATCAAAATGCGTACACATTACACGTCTATTGTCGCTAGTAATTAATAATTAGAATTGAAAACTTACGTTGTTTTTCAATATCATTATATAACTTTTTATTTTTGTGAAATTTGTAATATATAAATGCTTTAATAGATAAATTATATTATCATTAAAAATAGAGAAGGGGAGAGGATTAAAAGTGAAAACATATTTACTTTGTCCCATAATAAGTAGGATGGTTGCAGTGTTTCAATATAATCTAGTATTTCATGAGGATAGAATTAAGAGTTAAAAGAAAATTAAATTTTCACGATTTTATTTTAAAATTTAGTTTAATAACTATATTTAAAAAAAAAATAAAAAAAAAATCATGGAGTATCTCAAACTACTCTTACTTTCACCTTTATATCTCAGTAGTCCCTTAAACACACTCCATTTTATTGGGTGACAAACTCATTTCTTATTTTGTAAAACAATCAAAACTTATCAGCAAGAACCAAAAAGACATATGGAGATTGTAATGTTACTTTTATACTTATACATGTGTTTATTTGTTTGAAATTTTAAGAATTCATTATTTTAATTTGTTATTGGAAATGAACATATAGTCAATGAGACAACCGATATTAACTCATGCGTCAAAGGCTACAAGAGTTCACCATCTATGACACTAACATTTACTTTGATGTGCGAAATTAATTATTTTTTTATTTATGGCCCTTATAATATTAATAATGACATGTGTACTGGAAACTATAAAAGAAATAATCATGATAAGGTTAATTCTATAAAAATACCACCCTTACATTAAAAAACAAAATCGTATTCTTATAAGTGATTTCTTTTCAAAATAATAATTCTTTTAGATTTTTGTAAGTATATTTTTCAACTAATATTGTGGTAGAAGAAAAACCGTCCTAATTTATGACAAAGATAATATTATTGATTTTGTGATAAAAATTTATTAATTTTATAATAGAGTTAAAAATATATAAATTTTGTAATAATAATGTATCATGTGAACAAAATATTATTATATATATTTTGTATTTATCTTACTAACAAACTTTATGATAAAAATAATGCATCACTTATCATTATGTATAAACTAAAAAGTATTTAATTCATTGTGATGAAAAAAATATATTTTATTATATTTATAGTTATGTATTATCATATTAATAAATACTAAATATAAATTATTAATATAAAAATAAAAAGAGATAACACATAACTAAAAATTATAAAAAAATAAAGTTTCATAAAATAATTATACAAATTATTTTCTAAAATATCGTAGCATCTTCTTATCAATTTAATTATATAACTTAAAAAAAAGTGTTTGCTTAAGCTTTAAGTACATAATTACTTAAGACAACTCGTCCTACTTAAATTAAATTATTTTTGGTTAACGAATATTCAATTAAACACAACTTAGTAGACGTTTAGAACGATCAACATATAAGTGAATCAATCCATCAATAATCATTTAAGTTGTATTATTTTTGTTAGATATAATCTGCTCATATATACGATACAAACACTTCGATCATTAAAAAAAATACAAATCAATTTGTCTAGTTAAAGATGATAAAATTACATATATTTCAACATTTTAAAGTGTTACAATATTTAATTAAGCATATAAATTTAAATTACGTTCTTGACGTTGCTTCTTAAGTTGAAAAGCATATTCATAGAAAAATATATATTCAAAGTATAGAATATGTAAATAAAAATTAAAAAATAGTTGTACAGAACCATCTCTCTCTACACGTCCTAATTATATAACACAATCAATGAAAAAACAATTTCAGATATTCTTACTAAAAGACAATTATCATTAATATTTATAGTCGATATAAAGCATGTCGGTAGCTCAATTTGTTTTAAAAATTTTAATCTATGTTATATGAAATATTTTATACCAATTTCTAATAACTTGAATAAAGTTGCAATGGAGTTAATAACAAGAAAACTGAAACTCTCCCTCAACATACATCATCGATTACAACAAAATTCAATTGAATTATTCTTTTACTTTTACATGGGACAATGTTTTGTTGGCATTTTTTGACAATGTTTACAAGGTTAGTGTTTCTCAGCATTACACAACATGAATAATTATTGTAGAAAGTAACAAACTAAATGATTTTAAAAACTAAAATTATCTTCAGTGTTGTTCAATACTAAAATTATCCTTAAAAAAAAAAAAAAAAAAATCCGACCTGCCGGATTCGAACCAGCGACCTAAGGATGGCCATGTGGAGATTTCCAACTACAGTCCTCCGCTCTACCAACTGAGCTAAGGTCGGTTTGTTTCTATTTGCATATCATTTTTGTTTAGTCATTAAAAAAATAAAGAGGCAGCATGAAAGAAAATAAAAAATAATTCATGTGGCGTGCAACAAACATTCCATTGAATAAACCCACGTATAAGAAAAGATCATAAGTAAATAATACATGTCTACACCAGTTGATTAAGATTTGACCTAATCCATCAAACAATCCAATTAAAATGTTTTGGGTTCGATTGAATTTTTTTTTACCTAATCCACTCAACTCATATTTTAATCGACTTGAATTTACTTAATTCAATTGAGTCATTGATTTTTAAAATATTTTTTATTAAAATTTATATCTTTAAAAAATATTATTTGAAAATATTTTAGAATATTTAAAAAAATAAAAAAATTTATAATGACAATCATAAATGATGTAATTTACAAAAGTGATAATTATATTTAACACTTTTTTTTAAGTATATTAATTAATATATAAATAATTTAATATTTAAAATACATATTTCGTTAATAAAATAGTGGAATAAATTCAATAAAAATTACATTGTTATTATAGATTACTAACAATCCGATAAGCACACCTATATAGCTTTGTTGGAGAATAATTCATCAATACAATTTTCTTATGAAATATAAAAAAAAATTAAAACATTTCACATATACTTTTTGAGAAATAACTATGTAAACACACAAGTGAATGTAGAACTTGGAAGTGATGGTAATTTGAGAAAGTTAATATTTGATTAGTTGTATAATATAGTTATATATTTATATAATTTGTAAGTATATATATATTATTTTTAATAATTGATAATTTCTTTAAATATTTACATGCAATTTAAAACTAAAGATATTGGAAATGATAAATTGAAATAAATAACTAGTCAAGAAAAGAAAAATTTAAAACCACTCTGATTGAAAAGAAAACGCTCAAAAACAAATTTGTTGACAAATGATAACTAAAAGTATTCATGTTGAATACAGTTATTATTTTATATAAGGAGGGATAAAGGTATTTATAATAAAAGAGATATTTTAGAGTGATGTTTAAATTATTCTTGAAGTTTGTAATTAGTGCCGACATAGTTGGTTCGGATAAAATTTGAAGAATGTTTTGATCCCATTTGGTTCATTCCAATTTTCGATAATTTTAAATTTGTTTTTGTTTTGGGTCTCCAAAATTCTAAGGTTCGTTCACATGAAGAAGTTAAATTCATTATTAAATAATAGAAAAAAAATTATGTTAAAGTTATACGCAATTATCTTTAAAAATTATGATTATTAATTTAATAATGAGTTATGATAGTTAAAATTTCATATTTAATGGGTTCTTCATTTGTGAAAAACTTTATGATTAAAATAATAAAAAATAAAATATAAAATAGTTTTGATATAAGTACAATTTAGTGTAAGAAAACCTAATGTAAGTTAATGTAGTTATGTATGATTATGCTATAAGAAGAGTTAGCTCTCTTTTTTCTTCTTTTTTTATATAAGTCTATTTGTTATTTATTTCCTTAAACTTATGGGTATATCATAATACATTATTTTTGGTTTTTATCTTATTTTAAGTTGTAAATTGTGTAGATTAGCTACATGATGTTTGCTTTCTTAACATTTATTCAATAATAACATGTTTTCCAACTTAGGTGATTTTATCTCTTTTATGAAATATCTCATGTTTCTAAAAAAAGTTTCAACTTTCCAGGGAATCAAGTCATCCAGCTTAGTGTTCAAGTTAAGATAAGCTATGTAATTGAATTGTAATTATTATTTATAAATCATTCTTACTAAATATTTTGTTATTCATTTTTCATTATATACATTTGTAACCATGAAAAAAAAAAGACATTGAGATGACCAATTTTACATGTATTAGAATCATAAATCAATCACCATGACAGAAAGTTATAAGAAAATATATATCTCTTTTACATTGACTTCAAAGGACATTCTGGATAATTCACCCAAACTCAGTTGAAATGTGAAAATTATGATTAAGAGACAAATCAATCAAAATATAACCTATATTAATATCGATTAAAATTCTCCACTTACTAGGTTGACTTCAGCCTAAACAAAATCATTTCCTAATTAATGAAATATAATATCAAATTGATGATATTTTAACTTTAATTGCCCATGGACACCTAAGGATATAATATGAAAAATAAAATATAAATTAAAAAAAATAAGAATTTCAAATTCTTAATTTATATAAAATTTAAATTGTTTAATTTTAAATAATTGAACTATTATATCCTACTTCGGTTTTAATTTCAAAAAGGCATTGATATTAGTGCTGGATGAGGTTTTTACATATTATATTTTGACAATTTTTATCGTCAAACATAAATTCCACATTAATAATTTAGGATAGTTATCGATATTAATTTATGTCGAAAAATACAAGAAACAAACGTAAATAGGTTTTAGAAAATTAAAAAAATAGAATGAAATTTGTCTTTTGAGTGTGTCAATAATGTTAATATGTTGGACCTAGTCATAACCAACATAAATTTACGTATGTTATAACCTGATTTGACGTAAATTTACATTGGGTATTGACATAAATATTGAAGTAAATTTTATCATTTCTTTTAATATTGGATTTGTTTTATTTTACAATCATAACCTACAAACATATTTTAGTCACAAATAGTTTAGATGTCAGATTTTCAATATATAGTAATTAAAAAAATATAACAATACAATATAATATAAACTATAAAAGTTAAACTAGTACAAAGACTAAACTACTTAAAAACTAAATATTAAAAAGCTAAACTAATACAAATGCTAAACTAGTACAAAAATTAAGTTACCTAAATGTTAAATTACATAATACGATATTGTTAGGATCAAGCGCTTACCACTAGGCCAAAAACTATAATTATTAGTAAGAGTGCAACTCTTTTTACTTAAGAGTAACAACCCAAGCGCTACGATTCGATTGTGACTCGACCCACTTGGCATTCGTCATCGGACAATTGATGCTACCTGTAACAGATATAATACAAATAATAACCTACAAACTAAGTACTAGAAATATTGAGCGAAAAATCTTATCCATTGCTCTCCAATTTGTGTAATATCATATTCGATAATCGGTGGCGGATCTTGACCATTAATTTTGGGGGACCAAATAATATATTATTAATAAATAATAAATAAATATAAAAGGGTGAGAGAAGATGAAAGGATGAGAGGATAAAATTATAAATGTATAAATAAATATATTAAATGATCATTAAGTTTGAGGAGACAAAATCATAAATTATATAAGAGTTAGGAGTGGTGAAAGGATAAAATTGTAAATATACAAATAAATATATTAAACGATCATTAAGTTTGGGGAGACCAAAATCATAAATTACATGCAAGTTACAAAACTTTAGGGGACCACAAAAGTAAATTGTAAATGATAAACTAAACTAAGCATGAACTATGTTTACTACATAAATTCCCATAAGGATTCATGTCATTTATAGTTAATTCAATTCTCAAGTTTCTTGACTTCGCACCAAATTCTGGAAATGTTTCATAATCCTTTTTCATTACGGAGAATCAGCTGGATGTTGAAGAAAATTGTCACATTTTCTACCATTTTCATGTCATGTTAAGTTTCTTGCATATACTTTTATGACAAATAATCCTTTAAACCTGGGTATTATTGTCAAATATCATAACACATTAGTAGGAGGGTCATCTATTTCTTTCTTACCAATACTTCCATCAACTTTGTTTTTGAACCGCGATAAATCATATGTCGGACACATCTTTAATGTAACAAAGTCATTTATGTACAATATGCAATCATTAGGGCATGTATGAATCTTCTTGTATTATAAACCTATTAGACATAATATCTTTTTTACCTTGTAGTTATGATTAGGTAATGTGTTATCTTCGAGAAACATCTCCTTCAACAACTCCAATAATTCGGTAAAATTTTTATCAGTCCATCTATTTCTTGCTTTTAAACTGAATAATCTTAAAGTTACTAATAATCTTGTAAAAGTGCATCCAATGTATAATTATTGCTTAAAATTAGATTTCAAAGAACCATACACATGTGCTTTCTTAAATTTTTTTCACTAATATCACATGTCATATCTTTTCAATTATCATTAATCATTTCTTCAAAATTTTATGTTGTTAACATAGTTGGAATTATTTCTCCATGTCATGTCCATATTGTATAACTCTTAATAATATCATAGACAAACAAGTGATTACGTATATCTCCAAGTTCATAAGTTCATAATGAATTTGATTTAAATAACAAACGCATAAATAATAATATGTCTCTTTGATATGTTTTCCATTTTTATGAATAAATTTCAAAAATTCTTCAATTCCTTTTTCATATTTTTCACTAATACGACATACATTTATCTAACTCTAATTCATATTACAAATTTTCGTCACTCCTAGAGATTCAAACACAGATTCATATTAAAAAAATAATATTCAAAAAACAAAAAATGTGGGATTCAAACAACTAAACCATAAAAACATAAAAATATAGTATATAAACCACAAATGCAGTCAAACAAATCAAAGGATAATCATAAACTACAATAGAACATTTCAATAACAATCAAGTTGAGACATTTATGTAGTAACGTGATTGAGATCCTCGAAAACAATCATATATTCAATTTAAACATAAAAAAGGAGTCATAAAACATTAATCTCAAATATACAAAAAAACATTTTAAAACTCAAATATAATCGGAAAGAAATGCCAACCACTACAAATATAACACAATGTAGGTATTTTTGTCGTTTACTATAGTCAAAATATATCTTGTAAGGAGTTACAATGATTATTTTTGTCGTCATCACTCAAAAACCCTTGTACGCAGAAGGAAGAAAAAGTCTTAGGTGAGATTAAAACATGATTTTTACGTCAAACTTCACAAAGACTAACATAAAATTCGCATCCCTTCTTTACAAAAATGTCAAAGTATTTTTTTAAGTCGATTGTTTTTTAATATGATGTTGTGAGATAAAAAACCCATTTGCACTAATATGATTGTTTTAAAATTGTTATACATTATATAAGTTAAAACATTTTTGCTGGATTATCATCTTGTAACATTAATTCTTTCATAAAATGTTTTTTTTTTTGGTAAAATAAATATTTTAAAAAAATGATATGTTATTGATATGGTGGATTACCACTTTATTAATTTAAAATTTAATTATTGCAACAAGGCTAGATAATGTGTTCTAGTTTTTTTAAGGTGATGCAAACATTCAAATCACCCATTGACTTAATTTTGAATTGCTTAGTCTAATCCTTAGTAAGTAATATCTTCATTCGATCTTAATCCCTAATTTCTTAAACAATTTGAGAAATTCAATACAATCACTAATAACAACAATTATTTGATATGAAAACTAATTCAGTACTTGAAAATTTCAAATTGTAACAAAGTTTAATTTATTTTGTCTTAAATCTCAAATATTTCTTAATCTTCTAATTGTAAAATTGTTCATTGAAAAAATATTAAATAATTGATAAATATAAATATAGAATAAACACCAAAATAACTCGAAATTACTTAACATCAACTAAAAAGTTTCAAAACACATACTTTAAATACCACATCAATCCTAATAAAAAGATAAACAAAACAATCGTTGAAACATTTGATTGCATGAAGGTAGCTTCCACCTCATAGTATTGACCGCCTTGTCAAAACCAAAAACCTGGTGTCTTCTCTGCTCCCTTAGGTGAAATGCTTTTCTCTTTCGTCTAAATTGTTTCCTTTGAATTAAGATCAAACCCATTTTCAAATACAAAAACCATTGTTTTTGGTCTTACGGAAAAATCTACAATTTGCTCGTGGTTTTCTTTGACTTTAAATTTTCACGCTTTAATATTGTGTTTATATAAATATTTTGCAATTTTCAATAAATTTCAATACATTTAATTTAAATTGCTTTTATCTTAACTTATTTAATTTTTCAAATGATTTTTTGTATAAGTTCATTTATATTTAATGAATTTTAATTTTCTTGTTTGGATAGAGTATTTCAATTATTATTAAATAAAAAAATTATAATTACTAAATTAATTAATTAAATTTAATTTATATTATTATACCTTTATTCACACGGGTCAAGTTAAACTTAGATGAATTTTGGTTGGATTAAGATGAATTAAACAATAATAGATTAAATTGGGTCACGTTGTAAGTAAATATGATGTATCAAAATTAGATAAATTGGGTTAACATAAGACAAGACGTGTCAGGTCATGAGAATTAAATCAAGATGAATCGAGCGAGATTAAGATGAGTCAAACTGAATAGGTTGGATTAGGGTATATTAAGTCTACTCTAGGCAGCTCGATTATACTTGATCAAGTTGGGATGAGTCAAACAAAATTTAAATGAGTTAGATTAGATTAATATGAAATGAGTTAATTGAAAGTAATCCGAATGATGATTCAAGTATGATAAAAATACGTTGGTTGAAGGAAACTAAGTTATGATATGTCAAGTTAGATTAAGACAACTCAGTTAATAAGGGTTAGGTCATGTTTATCTAGTTAAATAGTCTTGGAACATGTCGAATTGGGTCGACTAGGTCGAAATAGATCAAAATAAGTAAAAATAGTCTAAATTGAGATTGAGTTAAAATAGAAATTATAAATAGAAGAAAACCTAAATTAAAAAAAAGATTCTTATTTTATAGTTGATTTTTTTAAAATCTTAACTAATTAATTTATTCTCAAAAATTATAATTTTTTAATTTTTCTATAAAATAATAATTTTTTCATAAAACATGGTAAATTCTCTATTAAAATTACTTATAAAAATTCTCAAATTAATGAACTTTTGTAACTTTTTTTATCTGCACACAAAGTAACTAATTTATACATCCATTGAGTATTTCACAACCTGTATGTGATTTTCTCTAACTACAATTTTCGTATTTTAAAAATTTTCGACAACTACGGAATGCTTCACAACTCTACATTCAAATATGCTCCCTAAAACATTTTTATAAGCATGAGACAATTAACAAATGAGTCGTGAAATTTTCTTTCGTGCCTTTTTCTCATTCCATTTGATTCCAATTTCATACTTCCACTTTATCTTTTTTCCAAACCTTGATTTATGCTTCTAAAAATACTCACTTGCAAGCAATAACAAGGAAACCAAATATATAACCTAAAATAAGAAATCTATAATAAAATAAACCAACAAATAAAATAATATATGCAAATGACTCAAACTAACACATCAATGAATAATAGACAAATTAAATACATATTAATGTTTAAATAAAATTAGTCGCGAAAATTTATACATAATCTTCTTTTCAGTAATTAATTTGATAAGATTAGTTCACATGTTGTGATATAATTATAAAAAAATATATTATAATATTATTTTTATAATTATTTAATATCATTATGCACATTATTAAATCAAATCCTAAATTATTGATTAAATCCAACAAGACTCTAAACACTAAAAATTCAATCTATTATGAAGAACAAAAATGACTTAAAAAAAAATGGTGAACAGGAGAAAAAGACAAAATAAGTAAAGAGAATAATAACACCCGATCCGGTCCGGTTCACCGACTCCGGTCCAGTGGTTGCATTGCTTGTACGGATTTTGTTTTTCTTTTCCTTCTTCAGTGCTCCCTCTCTTTCTTCTTATCTTGTTTCTCTCTCTTCTTCTCGCATTGGTTCTCCCTCTCTTAACACACACCGAACAACCCGCGACAGAGGCTCCGACCCGAATCGGACGACTCGACTGCAGCTCCGACCACTTTCATGTGCTTCGGCCCCAATCTCATTTCGCACCCATTTTCACCGATTTCTTGTTCTCATTTACACCATTGAAGCCGAATCTGTGAGTCTTCAATTCCCATTTTATCTCCCTTTCGATTCATGCCACAATCGCCTTCCACCAAGCTCCCAAATTCTTTTCTTTCATTTTTCGGTCGGTTTAATTTTGAGTTTTATTTTTTGAACTGTATTGTGACCTTGGTTGCTACAACAAGGTAAATTTCATTTCCATTGTCAATTTTTAAATATTTTGAATTTTTTATTCTCTTTTCTCTAGGTTTGAGATTTTAGGGTTCTGAAGTTTCTGCGTCTAACGCTGGGGGATATTGATTTTGAGGAGGGGGAAAGGAACCCGGGATTAGGGTTTCCTCGGAAGCGTTGATTTTGTTGGAAAAAATAGAGAGGGTTAGGTTTAGAGGATAATGTGTATACTGTGTGTGATTCAGAAGTGGTCTCGCCGGGTTGCTACGATGCTACCTTGGTTGGTTATTCCGTTAATTGGTTTATGGGCACTTTCTCAGCTTCTGCCACCTGCTTTCCGCTTTGAGATTACTTCGCCTCGTCTGGCTTGTGTTTTTGTATTGTTGATTACTCTCTTTTGGTACGAGATTTTGATGCCTTGGTTGTCGGCTTGGCGCGTGCGGAGGAATGCACGGATTAGGGAGAGAAAGAGGTTTGAGGCTATAGAGATGCAGAAGTTGAGGAAGACAGCTACGAGGCGGTGCCGCAACTGCTTAAGTCCCTATAGGGATCAGAACCCTGGTGGGGGTCGGTTTATGTGTTTTAACTGTGGTCATGTTTCCAAGAGACCTGTTCTAGATTTGCCTGTACCGCCGGGGTTAGGAATTTCCAATTCCAGTATAGTTAAGGATTTGGTTGGAAAAGGTGGCAAGATATTAAATAGCAAGGCATGGTCTGAAAATGGATGGATGTGTGGCCAGGACTGGTTGGAGAATGGCAATTGGGTTGGTGGGTCTAGTCCACGTAATCCTAGCAACTGGAGGACGAGTGAGAATACTAGTCTTTTTGGTGGAGATGAGCATTGTTTGACGGAGAGGTCATATTGTGGTCTTTTATTTTTGGTCTGCAAGCTTTTGACTTCGTTTTTCAAGAGCATTAGATGGCTCTGGAGAAAGGCTTTTAGAGTTAGTTCAAGTGAAGAATGTTCGTCTGATGCTGAACATAGGGCATTCTTATCAAAAAGGGGTGAAAATGGGGCAAGCCTCAGTGAAAGTAGAGGGGAAAAAGCGCGGAGGAAAGCTGAGGAGAAAAGGCAGGCTAGGCTAGAGAAAGAACTTTTGGAGGAGGAAGAGAGAAAACAGAGGGAGGAGGTTGCAAGGTTAGTGGAGGAGCGTAGGAAACTGAGAGATGAGAAAGTGGAAGCTGAAAAAGATCACAGCAGATCATCAAATCCCAGTAAGGAGAAAGACCGCAGGAAGGAAGCTGAAAGGAAGCGTCAGGAAAAAAAAAGAGAGAAAGACAAGGGGTCCAGTAAGAGCAACTCTGATGCTGAAGAGTTGGAAAGAAGAGCTGGCAAGGAAAGTGAGCGGAAGCGGGACTACGACAAAAAGAGTGAAACGGATCGCAGAGAGCTTCAGAAAGCTGGTTTAGAGAATGGCAAGGGACAGAGTACCGACAATGCACATAGTAAAAATGCCCCTGCAAACAATTATAACCGAGGAGGTACTGGAACAAGGTATCTTGACCGCATGCGGGGCACAATTTTGTCCTCTTCAAAAGCATTTGGCTTCAGTAGGGGCAATAATGTTCCAAGCACTGTGGTGAAAGAAAACAAGAGTTCTGTGGATCATGTTCATAGTGCTGCCAGCAGAAAAGAAGTTTGTCCTCCTGAGCGTCCAGCTGCAAAATCCAATTTAAATGGAGATGATAAGAATATCACTCACTCTGTAAGTTGTCTTGCTTTGTAGAGTCTTTTCGTTGTCTTTTAACAATACTGTTCTAGTAGGTTATGTTGAAGGTTGATTAGTGATGGAATGCTAGTTACCCTTTTTCTTTTCAAGTCAAAAAACGAATTTGGCAGATTTGTGTTACATTCAAATTGTTTGGACAAGGCTTTTGCTGTTGAGTATATTCAAATGTCTCTCTTCACAAGCTTCCATGTTGTTTGCAGACATTCTAAACTCTTGGTCTTGAGATTTATGAACAAAATTATGTGATGCTCTAGTTATTATTAATTGATAGCTACTCCTATATATTATCATCTTAGGTGCACTTAAAAAAAATGTACTAATGAAACAGTGATACCATGATAATTGTTCCTTGCAGGTACTCCCTGAACCACAGCCATGGACTGCTGCACCCAAAAAATCATGGCAGCAATTATTTACTCGATCTTCATCTGTTTCCCAATCTTCGAATTCAAATGTAATATGCAGACCAAATTCCAAAATTCAAGCAGAGAGCAAAAGCCCTCAGTTTTCTGCCCAGTCACCAGTTACACAAACATTTACTAATCCTATTCAGTTCGGTCTTCCATCACCATTTAATATTTCTACCCATGCAAGTGTACCAACCAGTAGTAGTCTAGGTTTTTCTCCTGCAATTGAACCATTGTTTTCTCCAGTTCGAAATACATCACATGACTTTCGACAAGATGAGCAAGAGCTTTTTGAAGACCCCTGTTATGTTCTAGATCCAGTGTCCTTGCTTGGGCCTGTTTCTGAGTCGCTTGATAATTTTCAGTTGGACTTGGGAACTGGCTTTGGGACAGAGAATGAAGTAACAAAACCCCAGTCTTTGAAAAACATATCTGCCGGTCCTGATGTTAATAAGCCATCTCCAATTGAGTCCCCATCATCCCGGGAAAAGCATGGCTGTTCTAATTGGTTTCCCGGTACCCCCAAGGGCGGCCAAGACAGGCATGGTTTCCCTCTCGATAATGCAGCCACAAATGACAAGGGAACATGGCAGATGTGGAGTTCTTCCCCTCTTGTTCAAGATGGTTTAGGTTTAGCAGGTGGTCCTGGAAGCTGGATGTTATCCTCCCAAAGGAACATACCCAACAAGGATGATTTTATGGTTTCATCATCTCAGAATACTATGGCTTCTTTTTTAAACAAAGGAGATAACATAATATCCAGTACCCATTCTCCACAAAATGTGTTTCTTCCTGATGGCCAAAGTGGTGAGAACTTTAGCCCTGTTACAGGTTCGACTGGATATGATCCTTGGTTACAAAGTGCTCTCTTCCCACCATTGGCAGGTGGCCCTTTAGCTCAGGAGGGAGCCGCTCAAAATGATATAATATATGGTAGCCCAAGTGAATCTGCTAGTAACCATGTGCTTGATGGTTCTCCGGCTAACTGTTGGTCCAAGTAAGTATGAACTGCTTGCTTTTTTCTTTCCTTGTTCTGGATTGCTTTTTGGGAGTTACTGCTTTACGTGTATCATCTATTTTGCTGAGCATTTTAATCTGATGAAACTTATATAGACAAAAGATGAGAAAAGTAATTCCCTCATCTTATTTTTTGAAATGAACTGTAGAATCATCTATAAACATTGATGGGTACGGGGAATGTTTAATGATTTGCTTCTTTCTATTTCTAGAGTCTCGGTCAAGTTATCTAGGTAACGATACTTTGTAGGGAAAATCATTGGTTTCTGTGGTGAAAGTTAATTTATTGATACTTATAACAAGTGATGAAACTGTTATAGAAGAGCACTTTGTCTCTATCTATATGCAATGGATTTAATGTTTTTCCCTATATGTGACATTTGTATTATTTCTAAAATAATTAAGAAAGCATGCAAATAGACAACATGTGTTTAATTATGTATTTGCTGTGTTTACCTTAGTTTTCCTCAATAGTCTGTTTGATGAATTGTGTGGGTTGCTTATTGATGATACTTTCACTCAGTGAATCTAATCTAAATGTATTTATTATTACTAATTCAGAGTAGTGCTTTTTACTTGGGCTTTTCGAACATATTGATTGAATCGAATTACAATTCTTCCGTATAGGAAACTAGCGTATAAATAAGAAATATATTCATTGTTCAAATGAGGATGAATTAGTTTTGGTAATAATTTTACTGTTTGACTGGAGGTATATTCTCAAAACAGTATTTCCATCTATAACTATGCTTCATCAACGAGTAGTAGAATGTTAAATATGATTATTAGAATGAGATAAATATAGCATCACTGCTTTGGTCAAATTTCCGTAATTTTGTCTTTTCTGTTGTCCATAGACCAGACATAGTGATGTATATGAAAGGTAATTTATGTGTTTGATTGAAATTGATTCCTATGCCTCTTGACATCTTTGGATGTGTGATGATATATAACCAAATAAAATGTATTTAGCTGCAAATGTACCGTTTTTATGTTGTTTTCATTTAACACAAGTGGAATTGCTTAATTGTCAATTGTTATTGTGGATTCATTCGTGTTATCTGTATACTGATTTATTTATTCATGAAATGAACGGGTATGCATTGGTACGGGACAGAGAGTGATTTAGTTGTTGGTGTTCCACTGTATACTTTCATACCCTTTTCTCTATTCCTCTGTTCTATTCGATTGAGTCATGAAATGTTATTTGAGTTTGTTGATTGATTAGCTCTAGTTGTCATCAATTTGATAATCCTTTCTATATATAAGTTTATGAATATACTAGCAGCTAAAATTTCAAACTGCTGGCTTGTTGACCCAGAAAAATAAAGAACAACTATTTTAACCAAAAAAGGAAGAATGAGACCATAATAATGTAAGTGACAATAAAAAGAAGAATTTCTTGTTGTCCCTAATGTAGAATTATGGCGAAGTGTATTCTTGGATATTTTGTGACACCTTTGTCTGTATATTGCATGAAGCATGTATGGATTGTGTTGGAAACTCACTTCGGTCCTTCCCGTCTAATGTCAATATAGACGGTTAAAAACTCTAAACCCTAAATGAAAAACTCACTTGTTTTGACTGGTATTTTAACTAGTGTGTTTTTTGTTTGCTTTGCAGAAAGGAATGGCCTGTACATGGTTCTGTGGAAAGCGTAGGGAAGTCAGCTGTTTCAAGGCCCTATAGTGGAGGTCTACAGCCAACCTCAGATGTACAGTCGTTTTGGTCATTTGATTAAAAAGATGATAGTGACAGGTTATGAGGGACTTGATAAACAAACACAACTGTTCTCTTGAGGCAAATAGCCTCGTTTGGGGGAAGAGTTTAGAATACTGAACCCATTGTATCTTCCTTTCTTCTTTTTAAAGGAAGATTGATGTTTACATAACGTTAGCAGCATCAATAGGAATACATGTTGGATTGGATGCATTCTGAGCAAGGTAACAAGAGAGGTTCTGGTGCGCCCCCATTTTGCACTTTGGAGAATGGTGCTTCACATTCCCACTTGTGTCATGATATTCAAATATGCAGCTCTTAATCAGAAATTAACTGATGCTAACATGACCCGCTGTCAATGTGTTTGTGTACGTGTCCGGCTCATTATTATGAATCAAGCTGCATCTTTGATCACAATGTGCACAAAGTCGGGTGTGATTTGACATGACCCGTTTTTATAATTAATCCGCAATGTATTTTTTTTCTCCCCCTTGTTTACTCGCGATTAGAGCTTTTGAATCCTTTAATCAATGTGATCAAGAATTAACGTAAAAGGATTGTTGAATAGAGGTTAAAATAAGTTACTGATTGCTGCGTTTTACTCCACACAAAAATAATTTCCCACATTTTTCATTCAGTAATGTAAAATAGTCTAGAATATCCATTCCAAAAATGAAAGAGTGGGGGTAGATTTTTATGAGATGTATAAAAAATGTCCTAATTTAGTAAGCATAAAGAATGTAGTACGACCAAACAACGTCTAAAGTAAATATTCATTAATTATCAGAAAAATAAATTCTTGTTACTTGTGTACAATCCTTTCCAAAGAGAGTGTGATATTGATAAACTTATTGTTTTTATATAAAATTATGCAAAAAGCTAGCTAAATGATTAGGAGATCCAAAGACGCATTCCCTCCCAGAGAAAAGGAAAAAGATTTCCGACCTGCCGGATTCGAACCAGCGACCTAAGGATGGCTATTTGGTGTTACCAACTACAGTCCTCCGCTCTACCAACTGAGCTAAGGTCGGATCTTGGTTGGCATGTTAAAAATGTTTTTTAAAATTATTGTTTCCTCACGGAATTATGACACTGCCACATTATTAAATCAACTTAATTTACATATTTAATTATGTAACTTATATTTTTGTCAATTAGTTACCAAATTAAAAATAGTTTACGGCGTGAATAATATATATAAATATATATTTAAATTAAGTATTTTATTACAGAATTTTATGATAAAAAATTAATTTCACCAATTTTACCATGTGAATTTATAAATATAAATATTTTTTTCCTTTTGAAATTTTAATATTTTATTTATTTGTTCATGATTGTGCAAAAAGGAAGTAAATATTTTATTTATTTTTTCATGATTGTGCAAAAAGGAAGTAAATATCAAATATAAATTTATGAAAAATATTTATTAAAATAACAAAATCTGGATTTGAAATTATTTCATATAATAAATTTTATGCTATCTGCACAGTTGGTTTTGATTCTGTTTGTTCCATGCAAAACACAACCCTTTCATAATAATCAGCACACCTTTTCTAATATTCTTTTCTTTTTCTTATATTTTATTCCATTTTATTGATTTTTTACCCCATTATTATACATATTATTATTATGAATATATGGAAGTATGTTCCTACTTTATAGTATATAGAGTATATAAGAGGATATTCATGATTTTATATGGTCTAAAAGAGATATTTAAAAAAATATCTAAATTATTATTTCTATAATTTGTAATTTGTAATTTTTGTTATTATCAGTCCATTAGATTAATAATTAACTTTAAATAAAGTATTAAAATGAGTAAGATATCTTTTACTAAAAAAATATTTAATAAAAAAAAATCATACAATAATATTTTTAAAATTTAAATATGATCAAATATTAATAAAAGAAGAAGATAAATATAAAACTAACTTTATTCTATTTTGGATATTATGAATGAAACATAGTGTCACAACGTCACAAAGAATTGTGCTAAATGAATTATAAAATATTATTAATGATATTTTTAATTTATATATAAAATTTTTAATAATATATCTACATGATGATTGGTGTTGGTGGAAAAAAAATCGAAAATGTGAATTAAAAATTGAAAGAAAATATTCGATGACGAGTGTGTTGGGAAAAATCGAGAATCAGTATCGAAAATCGAAAGAAGAAATTCGATGACCATGTCCTGAAAAAATCAAGAATCTGAATCGAAAATAGATAATAGAAATTCGATGACCATGTGTTAGAGAAAATCGAGAATCTGAATCGAAAATGGATAAGAGAAATTCGATGACCATATGTTAGAAAAAATCGAGAATCTGAATCGAAAGAAGATGGAGGAAATTCGATGAATATGATTGGGAGTAAAAAATCGATAATAAGTATTGAGTGTGAAGTTTGAGAGAAGTCAGAAGCAGTTCAAAGTACTCGATATCTGGAATCGAGATTAAGGAAACAATTATTATGCACATGGAAACATGGGTAGCGGTTTTTAAACCGTTCTTAGGTGGTCAGAAGCAGCTTAAAGTACTCGATGGTTGAGGTCGAGATCGAGCGAACAATTATCATGCACATGGGAACATGGATAGCGGTTTCTAAACCATGGCTGAGGTCGAGATAAAGGGAACAGTTAACGTGCACATGAGAACATGGGTAGCGATTTCTAAACCGTGGCTGGGGTCGAGATCGAGGGAGCAGTTATCTCGTGCATGGGAACGTGGTAGTTGTTTCTAAACCGCTCTTAGGAGATTATGTTTGAAGAAGGTTATAAATAGAACAAAGCTTGAAGAAGGAAGATAATTTTTTAGAGAGAGCAGAAATCTATTGTACAAGTCTACTGGAGAACGACGAATCATGGAGTTTCTGGCTATCTGGATTTCCACTTTTATTGACTTTTGTTACCGCTTTCTGTACTTTCCCTGATACTTTATCTTTAATGCAATTTAAATTTACGTGTCTGTACTTTCATGTTATTTCAATTCTTTGTTATTTACACTTATGCAATCTAAGATTCTGCATTACATCTTGGTCTCGATATCTTTTACCAATTCCTGGTCATTTACTCTTATGCAATTTAAACTTCTACATTCGTCTCGATATCTTTTAAAGTTTTCTTTACTTTCCCGGTAATTTATTTACTTGCAAGTTAAATTTACTTTTCTGTACTTTCCAGTTATTTCGATTATTTGGTCATTTACTCTTGTGCAATTTAACTTTATGTGTTACTTTTTTGCCTCGACATCTTTTTATTGTTTTCTTTACTTCGCTAATTTTTATATTCTCGAGTCTCTTAATAAAAAATACAAAAAAAGAACTTTCGATTTCGGTCTGTATGCTTTTTAATACATTTTCCGTGTTTCTAATATTCACGTTTTGTTTCATTGATTTGGCTCGATATTTTAATACTTTCGATTTTCATACATTTTTTTATTGAAAAACTGTTTGCTAGCCTAAATAAAAAAACTTACAGTGATTGAAATTTGGTTAGAGGTCTTTAGGAAATTGAAACAACAAAAAATTTCACCTAAAATAATTGGTCATTTAATATATATATATATATATATATATATATATATATATATATATATATATATATATTAAAACAATAAAAGAAAACAGAATAGTGGTATCCGCAACAAAATGAAAATATTTATACAGATATATCATATGGACGATTATTGTCCACCTCCTGACTTATGCCATTGTATTATTTATAAAAGTATAAATATCTTTAAAAAAATCAAACATCTACACTAATTTTAATAAAATAAAGCCAAATAAAGAAGCATAAGAAAAATTATATTTATAAAGACAATTTACAAGTGAAGTCAACAAGTAATAAATCTTAAACAAGAAATACAACTATTAAAAGAAAATTATGTATCTCTAATAAAATACATGTTATTAGAAGTAGAGGGAAAAAAAAATTACAAACCAAACTGAAAATAACTTAAAAGGAAAAAAAAATTTAAAACTTATTTAGTTATATTAATTTCTTAAGTTTAGTAACAACTTATAAGGGACATGGAGAAATAATTTTACTAATTAAAAAAAAAATTAAAACAATAACTTTAATAGACTTTGGAGCATATATTAATTGTACTTAAGAAAGATTAATTTCAATTCAATATTATGAAAATTTTTTAAAAATTAAGATGCTGGTCAGAAAAAATAAAATTAAAGATGAAAAAGATTTAATATCAAATTAAAATCAAAATTGATAAATGGTTAAAAAACAATAAACAAAAGAAAGAATAAGAGTCTTCTAAATTCATGAAGAGTCATTATTTTTAGTAAAATTAATGATAGAGCTCACTTAAATGACTTTAATAGAAATCGAGAGAAAAATTCGACTCAGACAGAAAAATTCAACTCAAAGAAATTTGACATATTTGGTTAATGTAAAAAAAAAAAGTCAAGATTTTTATAAGTAATTTAAAGGACTTTTAATGCAAGATAAGGACTAATGTTTATTAAAAAAATCTTTAAAGTGTAAATTTTTTTTTAAAATATTCGTAATAATTTTCACTTAAGAGCATTATTGTAAATAATGTGATGCGTAACGTATTCTAATTTATGTATAAATAGTGAGCCTTATCTCGAAAAGGAGTAAAAATTATAAATTGGAAGTTATAAGTTTTCCATATCAATAAAAGCTTTTTTTTTTCACAAAATTTTTTGGTGAATAAATCATCTTAAATTTGTTATAACCATAATGGGACGACTAGATTCTTTATTTTAAAATTTCTTCATGAAGCATAATTTTTTACTGTAAAGATTTATATATCTGGTGTTTCTAAGTAAAGGAGTTCTTTTTTTTTTTACTAATTCTTAAATTTTTATTATAATGTGAATGTCAATATAGATGAGTGAACAATAATTAGAATGCTGGAAAAAAAGAAATTTAAAAATATCTAGATAAAGAACTAATTAAACCGTAAAAAATATAATTTAATATTGAACCCGAAATAAATGAAATAACAATGAAAATAATTTTATTATTGTTATATTATTAATATAAACATAAGAGTTAAAATTGATATTTTCAGCTTTATTAATTTTTTTAAAATATTGTTTTAAAATGTATTTTATTCTTTCAAATCAAATTGTTTTATAAGTAAGCTTTGATTAAGAATTCGAAGTAATTATTATTTTTTTATATTAAAATGAGCGTTGACTAAGAATTTGAAGTAATTATTATTTTTTAAATTAAGATACTTTACAAATAAATGTTATATCTAGATTAAAAAATGCAAAAAAAAAAAGCTTTATAAATTTATGAAATAGTTTAATTAATTAAAATTATATAATTTCAATTTTTATTAAAATTTTAAAATTTTTCATACTTTTGATTTTTTTCCCTTTCTCCCTCGGCTCTCTCTCCATCTTTTCTCTTATTTCGCCCCTATTTTTTAATATTAACGACAAAAGTTTCAATATTTATATTTTGAGTTATTATATATTTAAATTATATAATTGTATTAATAAATATTTTTATCAATAAATATTTAAAATTAGAGAATATTTAATATCATAAATTTTAATATTAAAATTTTAATTTTTAAAATATATATAAACTTTTTTCTATTACCTAGAAATTAATTTCGCTGCTTATAAAAAAAGTACTTCATTCAAACTAAAAATCTGACATTCAAGGAATTTAAATTAATTTTTAAAATAAAATATTTTAAAAATCAAAGCAATTCAAATTTTAAAAATTTTAAATTTTCTGAAATTTAAAAGTTTTCATAAGAAAAATCAAATACATGAAATACCCAATCAGTGAATGAATGTATCAATTTTAAGTGGGTTTTGTAAATCTCTTTAACAGGAAAGAGTTGAATGTTATTAGTGGAGTACCAGTCCCAGTATAATTCACTTTAGAAAATAATAATAACTAACAACAATTATTAATAACCATAACGACACAATGTAATAATAATAACCATAATAAAATAATAATAATAATAATAATAATAATAATAATAATAATAATAATAATAATAGACCTAGAATTTGATTATACACTCATTTTTAAATTTTGATAAGATATTCAAATTCTAAGATAAAAAACATTTTGCGAACTACATGTACACAGAACACTATAGTCATTCGGCATAAACCCAGTGATGTTGTAGCGTGTTTGATATTTTATATAACACTGCATAATTTGTGTGTTATCCACAAGCTCTAACTTCCTCGCCTATTAATCAACATGCTTGAACATATTCTCCAATAAATCATTTTTTAATTTTCACCGAATCGCATTTCAGAATAATTTAAACATTAACATGGCAAATTTGCGTTGGAAAAAAAATGACAAAGGGAAATTGTGGTGGTATTCTTATGATATCATATATCGCACGGTTATACAAACTCAAGCTTCAAAATGCAATTTGCCAGTTGAAAACATATTGTGAAGCAATATAAAGCAACTGAGTATAAAGACATATGATTAAGGATGGAATAAAACACCTAAATTGGTGAAATTTGCAATTTGGGCACACAATGATTCAAGCATCAATCAAATAAGACTAAGCTAGCCAGCCACATTATTCTCTAAATACTAAAATTAAGCAATTGACCAAAACAAAAGAAGCAAAGAGCATCAACAGCCAAGAGATGAAATTTATGATCATGAAACTAAGCAGTAGGAGAAGGTTGGTGCTCTTCCTGGACTACTTGATGTTGCTGCTGTTCTTCCTGTGGATTTTCTCCTTGCCAGGTCCAAACAACGTCCTGAAGTGCTGGTCTAATATCCTGTCTAAAAAGCTTCTGGTACTCCATGGTATCCCCATTGAGCTTTCTAAATTCCACTATGTGCAAGTGTGGGGTAATCTCAAAAATCTCAGCATCAACACCTAAAGTACCTTTCCTGCCTTCATTGGAACCTTCCAACTTGAACAAGCCTCCATCTTTCTTGGTTACTTTCAAACAAAGCTGCTTACAAATTTCTTCCAACTTGGAGATTATACTCGAGGCCGGCTTATTCGACATGAACCGCATCTGTTTCTTGAGAACGGTGTCCTCGAACAAAGCAGATAAATCAAAACCAGTTGAGAAGGAGATAATATCAAAAGCATTTAAGTTACAAGGCATGGTCAGTTCATGCTTTGGCTCTGGACCACCATTCTCGCACACTTTAAATATTCCATCGGCATCCAGGGGAGCTAGTTCTTGGTTTTCGGTAGCAGTAGTAGCAGGCTTCTTCCACCCCATCTTAAACCATGAACTTTTCATAATCTTGTCTATTGATATCCTGGTCTTTGGGTTTGGATTTAGCATTCTGATCAATAACCGGCGGACATCCGGTTCAAACCATTTAGGAAATTTGAATTCACCTTTACTAATTTTCCTGTACATCACCATCAGATTTGAATCATGGAATGGAAGATGACCAGCCAACAGAACGTACAAGATTACCCCACATGACCATACATCTGCTTTCATCCCATCATAACCTTTTCTGTTTATCACTTCTGGAGCAACATAGGCAGGGGTACCACATGTAGTATGGAGTAATCCATCTTTGCACTTGGATTCAGTAAGGGCACTCAACCCAAAGTCTGAAACCATCAAATCGTCATTTTCATCCAAAAGTAGATTTTCAGGTTTTAAGTCTCGATGACACACCTCCCTGCTATGGCAGTAGTCAACAGCACTAATCAGTTGCTGAAAATATTTCCTAGCAACATCCACCTTGAGCTTTCCTTTGAGTACCTTGTTAAAGAGCTCACCACCTTTTGCATACTCCATGACAAAGTAAATTTTGGTTTTAGTGGCCATAACCTCATAAAACTTAATTACATGTGGATGTCTGATTAATCTCATCACTGAAACTTCACGCTTAATCTGATCAACCAGTCCAACTTTCAAAATTTTTTCTTTATCAATTACCTTAATGGCCACACTCATGCCAGTTATCAGATTCCTAGCATGGTAGACCTTTGCAAAGGTCCCTTGGCCTAATAATCTACCAAGTTCATATCTTTCCAGAAGCACACTTCCCATCTGATCCATTTATTGCAGAACTTTTTGCATAAAACCAATGCTACTATCAATAGTAAAATATACCCCAAGTATATACGGAGTACGGGTGCTCACGTTATCAGAAAGTGGTGAACTATTCCAAAGATGCTCAAAGCTCACCCGTCTTCACAAACATCACGTCTTGACATCAAAGAATTGCTTAGATTGCCAGCCACCTCCGGAAAATGAGCATAAAACAGATATTCACAGAGGTCTAAACATCCAATCTCATCAAGGATTAATAAGGCTGGCACAGATGGTGATCCAACATCATTAACTCTACAGAGGGAACTATTTACTTTCAACCACATCTTTCAGCATTCCCTGGTTTTGGTAAAGGACACTAGATGATACTGAAGAAGAACTCCTTAAAAACTTTCTAGTGCAGTCAAGGAACACAGCAGCACCCGGTTAGACTTCAACTATTCAAAGGCATAACATTTAAGGATGGCACGCCTAAAAAAAAAAAAGACGGAAAATTTAGTAGGCAACCTTAAACAATTCCATCCAGCTAAATAAATCTCTTACAATAGGTAAACTTTGACCTTTTTTTATCATTATTTATAACTTCTTTCAGATGACAGTGTTTTAACAACCTGGACGTATTAAAAACAAACCAAGAAAAGGGGTACAAAAATAAAACCCCCAAACAAAACAGCAATAGGTGACTTTAAAACGTAGATTTACAGGACTCAGCAACTGGAGGACGAATTAACCAATTGATTACAAGTTTTACATAAGCAAACACATTTTCCAATACCACAAACACTCATGGACTAGAACAAAGACACTTCTAACCTGTGAGATTATCGGTACCACTCTATTTTAAATGTGATTCAGCAGTGATTTCATACCAAAGCAAGCTAGGCAAACAAATAAAACAGCACTCACATATCCATGTGGATTTTCTTTAAGCGGTAGAATCTGGTGGGACTTCAGAAGGGTAGGAAATTTCAAATGGCGAAATACAGGCATTACAATCTCTTATATGCATGTGTTTCCACTTCCCATCATATCATGACCTAACTTTCATAATTCTTCCATTATGTCCACCTAATTCCTTGTTTATTTCACATGTCAATGATCCTTACTTTGAAGGCAAAAATATTTGAAGTTATTTCAACACAAATTAAGAGGTAGATTCAATTTTCAAAATTGATACAATACAAAAGTTATTTGGTGTTGTTTCAACTCAAAATTAGTTCTAGATTCAACCAAATATGTGAACATTTACCTAAAATCATGTTATATGATATTTCAACAAGATTTTAGATGAATCAACATGAATTCAAACATGTACAATTTTGTCCATACCTTGCGATGGGCAAAAGCATCACCATATGGAGCAATAATCGAAGAAAAGAGACAAAGTAGCAAAAAAAAAAAAAAACACGAGAAAGAAACTAAGAAATTGTCAATCAGGAATAACAAGTAAACGATCAGTAAAAAATACACCTTCTACACCACCCCACACAAAATACAAAATACAAAGAAAAAACAGCACACTCTACAACAAAATTGCTTCAAAAGAATATTAATAATAATAATAAAACCAGTGATAAGATGTAAACGATCCACCGGACCCATCACCTCAACCCGGAAAAGAAAAAGAAAGGAAAACAACACAGTCTCCACATTACCCCACATAAGAAAATAGATGGGTATGAAGAGAGAGTGAAAAAAGCTTTTGACTTTGCAAGATGTTGAACAAAATAGTAAGAATTAATAAAAAACTGTTGTTGAAAACCGAGACGATCTCAACCTGAACATAAGCACGTCAATAGCTTGAACCTTTCATGCAGAAAAACAGAATAACAATTTCTGCGGTTCAACAGAAAAATGATGCAGAAGAAAAATAAAAAAGCTGAGAAGTGTGCTTTACCTTGACGGGGTTTGAGAATTGTCGTTTATCTGTCAGTGGCTCTGCAATTGAAGTGAAGGATAGAGAATTGGGCAATCAGAGATGGGAAAGCAGAGTAAACAGAAAATGTGAGTCGTCTTAACGTTAGATGAGAAATGTGAGGAAACAGGAATGCCCAGTGCGCAGCTTCTTATATTCTCCCTGTCCCTACCTGACTTGTTTCCTACTTTCAAATTTGTTATTTGATAATCTATTAATATCTTACAATTTAAATTTTTTGAAATTAAAAGATCACAAATTATTGTTAGTTACTTTTACAAAAATATATTTAAAAAGATAATACTTTAAAAAATAGAACAAATTATCTATAATTTATTAAATTCTGTTTATGCACTTTTTAGGGTTAGAAACCTATAAATATAGATTTAATTTTTTCGTGTATCAATTTTTTATAATTTTAATATTATTTTACCTTTTTTTTAATTGTGATAACTATTTTCTTTGATGGTGATAACTGTTTTTTATTTTTGAAAAAAAAATGTGTACACACAATCACCACATCCCCGTCACATATGTGTTTCTGCTTATTATTAAAAATAGCTTTAACTTATGTTGTTGTAGGTGTTAGGATATTTATCCTTCACTCTGATGGAATCGTTTATCAAGTAGAATTTTTTAATTCAGTTATATCTTAACTCAAATAAAATATATATTTTTCTTGTTATAAAATAAGATAAGTTTATATCTATATTTACTATACATAAAAGGATTTTTCTTTTTACAATATTTTCCGTATCATCAGAATAGAGAAAAAAAAATCATATATAATGAAAATAATATATCTAAAAAATTAAAAATTGATTTTTTTAAATTAATACCTTAAAAAATTAATTATATAAAAATATGAACATACAAATACTTTAATTTCAATTTTTTTCTCATAAAAAAAATTATATAAATGTATCAGCAAATCATTTGTTAAACATATCATAAACAAACCATTCATTTTCAAAACATCTGTATGTGAAGGTAGGATATGGCAATAATATTGGCACCTCAAATTTCACCTATAATTTGCATCATATTAAAAAAAATGTAATAAGAAAAGGTACATATTATTATGAAGGGAATTATAAAAAAAATAAAAACTTACGAGGATATTAATAAACCTAGAAACTGTGAGACCAAATACCTTCTCATAAAATAAATTATTTGATTTGAATGAAGGATAAATATCCTAAATACATTCAATAATATAGGTTAGACTAACTAACTAATTTATACATATTTATAAAAGTATTTTAATGATTGGTGGAAATACATTGACGCATTATTGTGTTCATTTTCTTTTATTATGATAATAAAAGATTGGTTTCACGATTAAAAAAAAAAACAACTATAACAAATATACTGACATTACTAGCATATTTGATTATAAATATATTGATTATTACCAGGTGATTTTTATGAAATGTTCTCCTTTGTTACCATGTTTGATTCCCCACTTAATAATTATAACATCTGAATTTTTCTTATTTATAATTTTACCATGTTTAATAATTTTCTTAATAATTTTTATGGTTACTAAGTGTACTCAATCTTCTTGTAATTTTACTATAATGATATTATAACTAAATTCTAAACTTAATCATTATTAAATATATTTATTTATATATTTATAATTTTGATTTTTTATATTTTTATAATTTTGATTTTTTATATTATTTATTATTGATTAATAATACATTATGTAACCCTAAAATTAATGCTAAGATATGTGACTAATATCAATAAAAAAATATATATTAGACTATACCTAGTCATGACTTGTGATATGGAATCAAGCAACTCTAGGCATTCACATCCTCCAAAACCCACCACTATATCTTATTTCAAATAAGAATAGAAATTTGCTCTGAATCTTTGAAGCAACTTATATGCATGTATTTATGGTTATGATTATTAGGAAAGCCAAGATCCACCATTATTTGTTTTAAAATACTAATTTCCCCTCCTTTATTAATGACTAATAAAATCAATTTTTTTTAATCTTTATCTTCCTTGACAAAATTCATCGGTAAATATATATTATTGACGGATTATCGACGGGTAGAAATTTGTTGGTAATTCATTGATAAGTAGGACACATTTTATATATTTTAAAGTTGGAAGTTGATACTTCAACCACTATGCTACTAAGTTTTTCTAATAATAATTTACAAATAAATTATATTTATATACAAATAAATATATATTTGTCTAAATATATAAATATAAAATATATAAATACAAATATATTTATATATTTTGATATATTTATATATATTTATATGTTGGATGTGAGGGCGCACTTCGATGGTGAAAGTGTGTGTCATGTTTATTAGAATATATTTAAAATTAAGTAATTATTATATAATTTTAAATATTTAATTTTTTTAATTTAATGTTGATTTTTAAATATATATTTTAAATTTGTCGATAAATGAACAAATAATTACCAACGGATATATCTATCGGTAACTAATTGTTTATTTATCAAAATTATTAATTTATCGACTGGATATATCCGTCAGTAATTATTTGTTCATTTATTGATCGGATTTACCAATGAATATATTCATCGGTAATTATTTATTTATTTACCGACGAATTTATTGACGGATATATTCGTCGGTAATTAATTATTCATTTATCGAAAGATTTTTTGATGAATATATCCGTCGATAATTAATTATTCATTTAATGACGAATAGGTAAAACCAAATTCCACCATTATTCTAAATCTATCCGTAATAATTTATTTTCTGATCCATGAATAAATATTCGTTAGTAATATAAGATTTTCTTGTAATGCAACACCTATGACATTTATGAATTAAGATTGTATATCACTTAAATATATTTATTTTTAATTCCTATCACAACACAATTTTTTATTATATTTAGGAACGGATCTGATTAGAAATGGATACGTTGTGTTTAAATAATGAAACTTTAATTAAATCAAAACAAAATTAATAAAATTAGTTGAATTTTCTGATCGAATTGATTTTAATAAAAAATAAAATATAAAAACTAATTTTTTATATAAAAATATAATATATTTAAAATTTTTAATCATATTAACTTT